GACAGCTTTAACTTGATTCTACACGGTTGATGAGAGAATGAAATCCTTTGTCCAGTCTAATTCGTGTCGATCGCTCAACAAATATGTTTAGGTGGATATTGATTGTCCTGTTTTATGCTTTTTTTTTTTTTTTTTAGGAAAATTAATGAAAATGGCTTAAAAATTTTGAGTTTTAATGATAAGAACAAAATAAAGGTTAACGTGAATAGTACATGATTGATTTTTTAGTGTAAAAATGTGGTTTTTTGTTAAAATGAACAGTACCGCAGGTTTTTCGTTGAAATTCTTTTGTTTTTTTTAAGCAAGCAAGCAATATATAATGATGCTTTCTTCTTAATGAAAATCTGAAACCTCCAAAAGCAATATATATTCAATTTCATGGCCAAATAATTTACGATTTACACAAAACGGGCTTTTTCCGAAAAATACTTTCATAAAACAAGTTTATTGTCAAGGGACGTTCTAGTCCAATAATGTAATGTCTTTAGAGGTATTTACATTGTATCATTGAAATAGAGGTGATGGTACGGAAATTTTACCTTTTTTTTTTTTTGGAAAATTTTAATTAATGTTATAAATAAACAAAAGTTAGATAACTTTTGCTAGGAACATGAGCGAAGTAGATACAAAATATCACACTGTTTAGTTTCGTAACTATAACACAAAAGGATTGCAAGTAAAAAGAGAAAGTGAGGGATACTGATATTATTGCTTTCAGTTCTTTTCTTTTGCAGTGTGTATTGTGATCACAAATAGAGTGTTTTTTATATAGAGCAACATCCATGACAAACCAATCAAATGACATGATTGCCACTTTTGAAAACATTACACAATAACAAATACATCACCATTTTCAAGCCCTCCTCACTTTAGGCATTCATTCTCACAATTTTACAACAATTAATGAATTAAATCCAAATCATTTTTATTTTACTATTTGACCTTTATGAATAAAATGGTCTCCTAGAATATGTACCAACGCAAACCCAGCAGGGTCACCACTGCAAGAGAGAATTTTTATTTTTCAAGTTTCCACGAATTGTCAAGTGACTTTCTAGTCTAATAAGGTAATGTCTTTAGAGGTATTTACATTGTATCATTGAAATAGAGGTGATGGTACGGAAATTTTACTTTTTTTTTTTTTTTTGGAAAATTTTAATTAATGTTATAAATAGACAAAAGTTAGAGAGATAACCTAAGCTAAAGACATGAGTGAAGCAGGTGCAAAATATCATACTGTTTATTTTCGTAACTATAACACAAAAGGATTGCAAGTAAAAAGAGAAAGTGAGGGATACTGATATTATTGCTTTCAGTTCTTTTCTTTTGCAGTGTGTATTGTGATCACAAACGGAGTGTTTTTTATATAGAGCAACATCCAAACCAAGCAAATGACATGGTTGCCACTTTTGAAAACATTACACAATAACAAATACATCACCATTTTCAAGCCTTCCTCACTCTAGGCATTCATTCTCACAATTTTACAACAATTAATGAATTAAATCCAAATGATTTTTATTTTACTATTTGACCTTTATGAATAAAATGGTCTCCTAGAATATGTACCAACGCAAACCCAGCAGGGCCACCACTGCAAGAGAGAATTTTTATTTTTCAAGTCACGACACACTAAAAAATTTCTCCACCACCACAACCCCTCGCAGTTCCATATGATCCCAACTACTCTCGGAGAAGCTATTCACAAAGAGGAATGAAGCATGAACATTTCCAAAACACCAAATATTTTCTTGAAATCGACCTGAGGTTATATTTCCCCAAAAGGATTTGGTTATATGATAGTGCAATTCTCTGGCTTTATGAAATAGTAACAGAATACATAGAGACAAGCGCAAGCATACGCGCACACAAAAGGCTGTAGACGCATTGGGGTGTCGGTTTTTTAACTTGTCGGTGGTTGAGTTTGGGGTTGTGGACCTGTGGTTGAAGAAGAAGCTATTGATGGACATGACTTGCATACTTTTCGAGTTTTATTTGTAGCTTAGTTGTTGAAGCAGCGTGTTTGTGTGTTTTCCTCCTGTCAGCCTTTGCGTTTCGGCTCTTCTTCTTGTTGCTGTTTTCCCCGATTTTTTTCCTTGTACGTAACCTTGGAGACTCTTTTCGCCCCTGGTTAATGGATTTTCCAGTTTATCAGAAGAGGATTCCCATCGATTCTCTTCCTACCTAATAATTATGGAACTTTAACGAAAAACTTTCGGTATTGTTCACTTTAACGAAAAACTACATTTTTACATCAAAAAGTCAATCATTTACTATTTATTTTATCCTTTATTTTATCCTCATCGTTAAAACTTTAAAGTTTTTAAGCTTTTTTTCATTAGTTTTACTTAATAACTAACTATTTAACCCACTAATATTATGATTCGACTTAAAAATAAAGTTAATTAAATATTTTAATTAATTAGGCGCATGTCAATGAAAAATCCCCAAAACTTGTATAATTGAATGTGAACTGATGTTTTTGACCCTTACTAATATACTAATATCAGTCACTTAAAATCACTCTTGCGCGAAGAAACGACCCAGCTCCTATTTTGTGTGAATTCAAAAATTGCATTGCAGTTTCTATTTTGTTATTTTCTGCTCGTGTGGATTCAGAAATTGCATTGCGATTTTTGTTTAGAAAAACTAATGAAAAATGTTTGAAAACTTTGAGTTTTAACGTTAAGGACAAAATAAAGTGTACAATGAATAGTACTAGGTTTGACTTTTTAGTGTAAAAATGTGATTTTTCGTTAAAGTGAACAGTATCACGGACTTTTCGTTAAAACTTCCTTTTTGTTTTGGTTAATCACGTGAATGATTGACCTCCTCTTAAATATGATAAATATGAGAAAGGAGGACTGTCAGTTGTTCAAGCATATTTACTTATTTATGTTTGTTTTTAGGGCCTTTATGTGCGACAATACATGATCAGCCTATTCATAACTAGCACTAGCATATCCCACACTTGTTTGTGTGGACATTTCTTATTTTTGTTTATAAAATGGCTAGAGAGAACTTGTCCTTCGTTTGCCCTCATATGCTTTGTTACTTTTTGTATTGTTGTTTGGGCTCACCGCTTTGGTAAATTAAAATTCATGAAGAGAAGTTTTTTTTCCTTGTACGTAACTTTGGCTTCTCTTTTCGCCCCTGGTTAATGGATTTTCTGGTTTATCAGAAGAGGATTACCATCGATTCTCCTCCTCCCTAATAATTAAAGTTCTAAAAAACGTTAAACGTTAATCGGACGGCAGGTATAAGCCTAGTGCCAAGGCGGCTAGACGGGGCCTAGGCGGACGTTTGGGCGGATTTATATAAATTTATTATATATCTTGTAAATAAGTGTTTATTTACATTTAAAGAAAAAACTATACTTGTATGGATAATAAAAGAATAACAAAATGCAAAAATAGAAGTAAAAGAATACACTTTATAATGCATTTAAAGGGGGAATAAGGATGTCAAATATATGTTTAGAAATCATTTAATTTTGAAAACAAAATATTTGACAAAAAAAAAAGTATTTAATCAACAATTTAAAACAATTACATAAAAAAAAGGAGTGTGGAAACTGAGATGTATAGAAGGGAGGGAGGTGGGGCACCATTGATAACATTCAGTTTTTAAGATGCTTGATGTCCCCTCCTTTATACGTATACAAGCAAATAGGATACTAGGTGTGCCATTTTAATTGGACAATAGTTTAAAATATATTAAATATGAAAAAGTGAGACTTGATAGTGGGAAAGGGATGGTCACGTGAGGTGAGAATTGAAGACAGATAAACTCAATTTTCTCTCTTCTTCTTTTTCCTCTCGTCTTTTTTCGTTGGAACTCAAAACCCAGAACACAGACAGTGCTCTGCATTCCTCCTTCCTCACTTTGAAAACAGAAAAAGGAAGTGAAACACCAAAACCGCCTAGGCCATCCAAGCGCTGCCCGGACTGTCTCGGCGCCCGCTTAATCCCTTTCCTGATTTTCCTTTCGATTATAGGTTAATCGTGGCGGCTGACTGTCGCCTAACACCTAGGCGCCGCCTAGGCCGATTTTTAGAACACTGTTAATAACTAACTATTTAACCCACTAATATTATGACTCGACTTAAAAATAAAGTTAATTAAATATTTTAATTAATTAGGCGTCAATGAAAAAGCTCCAAAACTTCTATAATTGAATGTGAAGTGATGTTTTTGACCCTTACTAATATACTAATATCAACCACTTAGAATCACTCTCGCGCAAAAGAAACGAAATTGTAGCTTCTATTTTGTGTGGATTCAAAAATTGCATTGCAGTTTCTATTTTGTTATTTCTTGCTTGTGTGGATTCAAAAACTACATTGCGATTTTTGTTTTGGTTAATCACGTGGATGATTGACCTCCTCTTGATAAATATGAGAAAGGAGGACTGCCAGTTGTTCAAGCATATTTACTTATTAATGTTTATTTTTAGGGCCTTTATGTGCGATAATACATGATCGGCCTATTCATAACTAACACTAGCATAGCCCATACTTGTTTATGTGAACATTTCTTATTTTTGTTTTTAAAATGGCTAGAGAGAACGTGTCCTTCGTTTGCCCTCATATGCTTTATTACTTTTTGTATTGTTGTTTGGGCTCACCTGTTTTGGTAAATTAAAATTCAGAATAATAATATTTATACTATGTTTTTATACCATTTTAGGTGACATCTAATATGAATAGCCACATCATTTGAAAAATTTACAAAATCCAAGAAAATGAAGGAGAGAGATTCCTCGAATACTACAATCATCATTTAATTAATTAGTTTTTATTAATTATTAGTTTATTAAATAATAAACTAAATTTAAAATTTTAATTAATTCAAATGATATAACTGTTCATATCAAATATCATGGTGATATGAAAATGTAATATAAAAATTCGATAGAAATAACATTCCTCTAAAATTCAGAAGGCGTGGTCCGCACACGAAAATAATAAATAAAATAATAATTTAATAAAATAGATCGCGTGCGAACCGCCTATTCCTTTGAAAGGCAGGTAAAGCCCTCTCCCGGTCTCCCCTCCCGTCCTGCCGATTCATTCACCAACAACAAACAACCAACAAAACAACCACGACAAAACCTCACCTCTCTATCTCTCCTATTATCTTGTCAAAGGTCAGACAGACGGCGTCGTTTCGCGGCATGGCAGCACCGTAGCACAGCTCAGGTCGATCGGCGTCTTTCGGGGAGTCGACGACTTTCAGGGACTCTTCCGAGTCCGAGAAGATGGAGGCCACCGGCAGCTGGGACGCCCTCGACTGGACCATTGAGGTCGTCTCTTCTACCTCCACTCCTAGAGTTCTTTATCTATAAGTTTTCGATTTTATTCAAATTTTGTTCTTCCGTCACTGCGGCCTTTGCTCTTAATCTTCGATTTCTGTTCAAATTTTGTTTTGCAGCCGGTTTCGCGGTCCGTTTTTCGGCCCGTTTCGCATGTGAAATTGGAGTGCTTGCTTGAAGCCGAGCAAGTCCAAGTTGAGGTACATTGAATTCTTGAATAATAAGCAGAAATAGTGATTTTTCTTATACTAATAGTTTAATATTTTCGAATTCTCGGTTCATTATGCTTTAGCTGTGGAGGATTTTCTTTGTAATTAACTACAAGGACGAACAAATCAAAGATTGATGTAATGTGGCGTTTTCTGTATTAACTAATGGCATGCTTGCAAAGTTTTCTGATATTTGAAGTTAACTTTTAGGGGTCTGGAGTTGTTCTTGTTAATACGGATAAGGCAGGCACTTTGATAGTGACCAATTTTCGTCTTCTATTCCTGGTATGTGATGTGCCGTGAATTTCATTCTAAAGTTTCATTCTGTTCGTTTTATGCATGGCTCGAGTAAAGTTCATGTTTGAAGAGGAGTAATTTTGGTAACAACGTAGTTCATGTTAGTGTTGAGAAATCGCGTTTAAGAATGAGAAAAATAGAACAAACTCCGGAAATCGAAAACAAATAACCAAGATAAATAACACCAAGAATTTGCGTGGTTCGGCAATATGTGCCTACGTCCACAGGACAGCAACAACAATCTTTCATTATATCAATAATGAGTACAACCAATAATCTTGCGAAATCTCTAGAACTAGGAATTGACGAAAAACCTGAAAGAACAAGAACAAGAAATACACTGTCTCTTTTCTTTTCTCTCGCACACACTTTACAATATTCTCTCACTCTAATCCCTTTAGTGGTATGCAATTTATTGTTTTGCTCCCTTCTCAAAACTAGTACAATAGCCCCTTTATATAGACATAATAAGGGTCTTCTTCAATAAGGATTACTAATCCTAATTGGAATCTAGTTATGAATCCTTCTCCAATTGAGAAACTAACTCCAATTGGGAAAACAATTTAATCCTCTAAGACTATAATTCCTTATAGACGTAGGACAACTTATCATGGGCTGGAAAAAACCCAACAGTTAGTAATGTGAGTAATGTGGCAATCTACAGTGAGTTATCTTAGAAGAGTGACTTTGAAACAGATGGGCTTGGGGGAGCTTAAAATTAGATATGTCGGTGCAGACGCTGTTATATATAAGGTCTGGAATTTACACGTTGGGCAGACTTGGGTGAGTATCTGTGCAATTGGTGTGTAGGATGAGAAGGAAGAAGGCGATGGTAGAATTGAAAAGCAAAACAATGGAGGAGAAAAACCTTCCAAGATTTGTGAATAAAAGATAAAGAAAAGGTCTTGCAGTGGATGTTGCATTTGTTAGATTTTCTGCTTGTTTATGTTACTGCTACTGAAATTTTTGGCACATAAATTGTTCGCGGTTTGAGGAATGTAAAACACATGGTAACATATTTAATCGTCTGTAATTTGATGATGGTGATAGTGTTGGTGTTGTGTGTGTCCTAATTTATCCCCAGAATAGCTAATTTGATATTCTTACTTTTGTTTTTCAAGAGTGAGGGAACTAGGAATGTTATTGCACTTGGCACGATACCGTTGGCAACAATTGAGAAGTTCACCGAAATTGTAAGTTCTAATCTCCATGTATACACTTTTATTGTTGACAAACAATTCTTGTGATAAACTCGTTTGTGGTGCTCGAATCTCAAATACATTTGTATCTATAATCTTTCTACGAGTCTTGCATCTTTGAAAGATGTAGAGATGAAATTAATTGAGGAGAGTTTACCGAGATGCCTGGTCACATATTTTTATCGTGAGTAGAGTGTTTTCATATTTATTATTACAAAGAATTGTGAGCTTGTTACTTACATGGAAAAATCATTCCGGTTCTTGACTTTCATGCATTTACTAAACATGGGTATTGGAATTATTCAAATTATGACTTCCATGAGTTAACTAACTCATATAAAATAAAATAAAAAGTGGGTTTCACGTTAAAATTTGTAAAATACTAGAAAAATCAGGAATCATAACAACTAGGGGGCCTAGTTGATCCCATACTCATGCCTTCTTTCCCTTCCTCTTCATGACTTCCCCCATTCCAAGTAAGTAAACATAACATGTGTCGACATGAAATATTTGATTACAATTTTAAAATAAAAGCTCTCCTCGTTCAAGTCCTTTCCACCTCCATCAGGTCATATCCTTCATGCTTTCCCAATTCGTTATTCCACTTCTCAGGTGATCTACCAACAATACATCAGTGATCTGCCCATTTTGGTGCATGGTCTCTTTCTTTTTACACCATTTATTTCTGTAGTCCTCTTCACATTTTTCTTTTGAGAGAATAAATTCACTCTTTGCCATGTTTTGAGAGATGACAGAGCTTTAAGACAGATTAAGTTTCCTTGGTTTGCTTCTCTCGAGTCTAATCTAGATGGTTGAATGGACCCAACAAGAATGACAAATTTATAAATGTCTGCTAGTATTAATTTTTCAATATTGTTTTTCACCAGTTAGTGTTTTTCTTTTGGATGTGGAAATAGCCAGTTCATTGTATTTATTTGACTTTTTAGGTTGTAAAGAATCAGCCAACCCCTTGTCAATCCGAAAAGACTCCATCAAGACAGCTTCTTCAGGTCATTGGTAAGACTTGTATGAAGTACTTATGTAAATGTATATGAATTCTTTTCCTTATCATGTCAGATTTGGTATCATTCAACGATTGATTTAGGAAGAGACGTGTGGATTCTGTGTTAGATCTTAACTAATTCAGTCCAGTTGCGATTTCAATAGTAGTTTATAGATTCTTGGAAATGTTTACTAAGCCATATAGAAATCCTCAAGGCTACTAAAGTATGGGTCGTCATTGCAATAACATGCTTATCTGGCTTAGTGCTGCTAAATATTGATGGTTTTATACAGGCTAAAATTCTCCCCATTGTCTGCTTTTATTTTCTCAAACAGTTCTTGTTCACATTTCCATCCAAATATTTATACTTTGCAGGTAAAGACATGAGGACCATTGTCTTTGGGTTTCGTCCTGAAACAAGGGAGGTAAATTATTATTGTGAATACTTCTCAATACTTTTGCATTGTGGTTCACTCCAGTATATATCTTTTAAAGGTTTTGTATCTTAATATTATGATGAAAGGCTATCTATAGTTTTGCAAATGTTGTGACAAAACTGAACATCGCTCGCAAAAACCAATTTCGTCAATTTATGACCACACTTTTCTTTTTTAGGACAAATTGCACTCATAATATCCTTGAATGCTCTTCATTTCATTGAATGTTTAACTGATAGTAGTCTAGTCATCATAAATAAAGAACACTTGCAGTTTATTATAGGTGAAACCAATCTTAAAATTATGGTTAGAAGTGAATGCCAACAGTCGACACCGGGGGTGGACTATCCTTTCACCATGTCATGAAAAGTGAGGGTTTAGCTTCAGCTCTCACAAAACAGAGCAGAAGTCGAGTTGTATGTTGGGTAGTCTCATCAATACTTCGATGGAAATAAATGCAGCTAAAGCTGCAACCACAACAGCTAAACCAATTTCATTATTGTTATTAGTAGCTGCACAGGGGGAGCAGCACGTCTGGACCACATGTGTAGAATAAAGTATTATGTATATAGTACTATACAATAATAACTTGAGAGAACAAGTGATTTACATACTTGCTTTCTTGTGTCTATACTTTATGCCTATAACCTTGACGAATCTCGCTGGTGTGTCTCGAAGCATAAAAGGTTTTCAATATCATGGTGAATTCATTTTGTTGCTTCTTGCATTTAAAGTTGTGAACAGCTGTCTAACATGGGTATTTAAAACAAAACAAAAAACTTGCAGGCAATATTTGATGCATTATCAAGGTGTACAAAGCCAACAAGTCTGTGGGATCTTTATGCTTTTGTTTCTGGACCTTCCAAATTTGGTAACACCAACCCAAAGGTGCGGTTACTGAATGAGTATCTTCGGCTTCTTGGGAAAGGGTCCTCACGTGCATCTATGAATATGATTGAAGATGGGTCATTCACATTTTCTAATGATTTGTGGAGGATAAGTAGTATAAATTCCAGCTATATCATGTGCCAGAGTTATCCATTTGCCTTGATGGTTCCAAAATCCATAACGTAAGAGTTTAAGATCCATCATTTCATACTTCTGCCTTACGCTTTTCAGGTTTAATGAGTCTTACTGCATTGACTTTAGAACTATGCAACTAATAATTATTTCATGGTTGCTGACGCTAGTGATGAAGAAGTGCTTCAAGCTTCCAACTTCCGAGCAAGAGGTCGCTTGCCTGTAGTTACATGGTGTCATCCAAGTATGCAATAAGTCTCTTTGTTGCCATCAAGTCAAATCCGTTTTCTCATTTTCACCAAAAATAAGTCCTTTTGCTGCTCCTTTGGTTATACTACTCATACTTGTGTCCTAATAACTTTGACAACTTACAGAAACGGGAGCAGTTCTTGCACGGTCATCCCAACCCTTAGTTGGTCTCATGATGAATATGAGGAGGTAATATAATCCATCTTTTGAAAATGAAATCTCCTCTCATATTGCACACACACAGAGAGTAGATATACATGACTGTCAAGAGAACACCCTGAAAAGGAAAAGATATCATACATATTTAGTTGGTTTACTTTTAATTCTTGGAATTTAGAGCACCTATATATTATCATATTTTTTGCATGATTTGTTATGCAATTGGTGATGATCCACATATCCACATGTGTTGATTTGTCTGCAGTAACACAGATGAAAAGATTGTTGCTGCACTTTGCACTCAACTTGCTGGTACAACAGTTAAACGGAGGTAAGTGATAGTTTTGTTCAACTTGTTGCTTTGTACTTTTATCTGTGTTATTTTTTCAGTCAGTTATTTTTGTTGCATCTATTTATTAATGACCTAGTATTGCTAATGGGTCAATGGTTCAATACAACAAGCATTAAGAAGTGTTAATAATAAGGGCTAATTACATTGCACACCCTCCATGTTTGGGGTGATTTTCAAAATGGGCCACGAGGTTTCAATTTTCTCACATTGCCCCCCTAACGTTTTGAAATTGTGTCAATTTATACCTTTTGTCTAATGAATTATTTGAATCATAATTAAACTGATGGCATGGTGAACATGAAACCCGTAATTGCTATGACATGTAAGCCACATTTGCATCATATTGACTAAAAAACTCATCAACTTAATGGATATTTAGACGTTCAAATATCCAGGAAAGGTGTAAATTGATACAATTTCAAAACCTATGGGGCAATGTGAGAAAATTGAAACCTAACGGTCCATTTTAAAAATCATCTCAAACCTTGATGGTGTAAAATGTAGTTAACCCTAATAATAATTATAATAACAGTAAAAAAAAAAGAATATTCCCTTTAATAGGTGGTTAAACAGTCTATGTCCTTGATGCTTACTCTTGTCATTTATTTCTTATTCCAAATTTTTTTTATGCTTATGATAGTTTACGGTTTAACAAGTGGATGTTGTGTTAATCATTTTTCTGATAATTTAGTTAGGTTATATCGTTCCAGAACATTTATATCTTCTGAAATGATTGATTTCCAGGAAGTTATATATAGCCGATGCAAGGCCTCGAAAAAATGCTCTAGCTAATGGTGCTATGGGAGGTGGCTCTGAGTCATCTTCACATTATTCTCAATCTGAGGTATCTCTAACTTTTGGATTTTTTATTTATGCATCTTTGGCTGTGTAATATCATAATTATGTAACTTCCTATTTCTTTTCTTTTGGGGTTTATCAGATAGTTTTCTTTGGGATAGACAACATACATGCAATGAGAGAGAGCTTTGCCAGACTCAGAGACTATTTAAACGCTCATGGTGCTTCATCGGATGGAAGGTCATCTTTCTTGGTTAGTCTAGCTATCTTATGAATATCTGGGTTCTTTATCCGTGTTAAATTGTGGTTCTAATTATTTTTTTAATATTTTTTTTTATTCTGATGGCTATACAGTATGCTGTATTTATTGATAATAGCTGCATGTTTTTTTGTTCAAAGATAAAAGTTACTCTTAGTGGTTGGTAGAGTCAGGATGTGAGAGCGCAATATGTGTGTGTGTAGTACTAGAAAAATACTTCCATGAATAAAAGTGAACATTACTACACAGGGCACATGTTGTCTACGCGGAAACAGAGCAAAAACGGTCTAACATTGCATGAATGAAAACTAAAAGGCGCCACTCTGATCTATAAAGCCTCAGGTCTACAAGTGAAGGCTATATATTTATTCCTTAGAAGTAAGATTTTTAAACTCTGCAACATGTATGGTTTTTAGTTGTCACCAAAGGGGAGTTATTTATATACAAAGGTTTCAATTCCAAAAGTAGCTGGATTATTTCTGAAAGTGAATGGAAGTTTGGTGATCTCAAAGGTTGTGAACCTGTGGGCCCATGTGTCCAAAGTGTCTTTGTTAACTGATCTTGAGGCTTGCTAAGAAGCATGGTTAAAATGTGAATATTTGTCGTTTGAGAAGAAAATATTTTATTAAATATTAATATTGTTGAAAGTATTTACAATGAAAAAAAAAGAGGAAAAGAGGAAGGGAAGATCAAGTTTGTTATGGCCTTTTTTTCTCAATTTAATAAATGAAAACTGTTGTGTTTGATGTGGGAGAGAAGAATACACGTTTTATACTTTTTAATATTAACAGAGACATGGTGGATGGACGTGGGGTGGAGGTAACCTAAGCAGTATGTCTGCTCAAGTGTCAACACTGGGGGACAGTGGTTGGTTAATACATGTTCAAAGTGTCTTGGCTGGTTCTGCTTGGATTGCTGCTCGTGTTGCTTTGGAGTCGGCATCAGTGCTTGTACATTGTAGGTAAGGTCTACTATACCTGTACTTCATCAAACTGGCATGATGGTTCAGTTTTTCCATTTTTGATGTTTTAACCTCTAATTTGCAATTCTTTTGTTAAGTGATGGATGGGACAGAACCACTCAGCTGATTTCACTTGCCAATTTGTTGCTTGATCCATACTATCGGACTTTAACTGGGTTTCAGGTATTTGCTGGACATACTTGGAAAAATGCCCTGATTTATGATGCTAGTTTTTCTTAGATTTCATGGGTAAAAACCCCTATAAGATAAACTCATTTATGTTACAAGGTGCATTCCTTCTTTTGTTCTGTGGGCCATTCTTCTGCAGTTTTGACGCTGGAGTGTCTATTGCATTTCTTCTTTTGTTCTGTGGGGTTGTCGTCCTTGTGTCTAACTGTCTAGGACTCTTATAATTCTTTATGTAATAGGTGAGGGGCCCATTTGTAGAAGGCAATCAGGCCACACTCAGACATATTTTTTTGTTTCTCGCTTGATTTTGCTTAGACACAAGAATGACTTGAACTGTTTAAGTTTTAATATGGTAATGTTTCAAAAATTGAAACGTTGCGTTCCTTTTTTAAAGATTCCCGAAACCTAGGGTGTATATTGTAAGTAGATATTTAAAAATATTACAGAGTTTGCATTTTTTATTTTGAACTCAATATAAAACTTAATTATGTGCTTTGATGCAGGCACTGATTGAGAAAGATTGGTTAGCATTTGGTCACCCCTTTGCAGATCGAGTTGGCATGCCAGCTGTAACGGGAAGTGGCAACACGCCTTCTGAACTGACAAGGCAGGCCTCTGCTCCAGTTCTCCAGTCATCACCCAGTCGCCATTCATCAGTGTCTCAAGCGCCTACTTCTCATGCACAGAATTCAAATGACTATTCTCCCATATTTCTGCAGGTACACATTGTTATTTTGGTACATTATTACTGCGTTAAATTTCAACTCACTATTCTTGTACTTGTAGAATCTAAACCCAAAAGGAACTCATTCATCATATTAACATATATCAATTGATCCACACAAGTAGAACACAATAAAATCAAGTCTCATGTTGGCTTCATCATCTTCATCTTCCTCAATCACAAATCTTTATTTGTCGAACCAGGGACAGGGAAAGCGTTTTGGTTGTTTAAACTTTTTTTTTTTTTTGAAAATTCCATTGCCCCGACCTTTTTGAAAATACAAATGTCAAAATAGGTTCTTGTGGTTTAAGCAATTTTTCTCATGTGATTTACTTCTAAACAAATTTTAGTTAAATGTTCAACTTTCATCATTTTGTGTAACTTGGAAACCACATGTGGGTCATGTATATGGGCATTATAGTATTTTTATATCCAATCCCACATAATCATCTGGAACCACGATGGTTTCACTCCACATAAACCCAAAAAAATCTTTGTTTCAAGTCTCTAGTTTACCCAAAAAGTTGTTTCAGATACCAACTTATCAAGTGAGATTGTATACAGAAAAATTATAATGCTCTTGCATGTGAACGTGAAGTTATATGAATTGACGAAAACTGAACAATTGACCAAAATTGGTTTTTTAAATAAATCGTAAGGGAAAATTGACACAATTGGAACCAAGGTAGTTGTTAAAGTAATAGTTCTCATAAACCACAAGGACCATTTGTAACTTTTGGCCTTTTCAAAAATAGTCAATCTTTCTGACCCCATTTTTTAAGGGAAGTTGCAAAAAGATCCAAATTGTATCCTTGAATGTATCCAGTCAACTTCCAATTTTCGGTCAAATTTCATTACTTCTCTGTTGAATTCGACTTCGGCAGTGGTTCACTCTAGTCAACTTCCAATTTTCTGTCAAGTTTGTCCTTTCCACCTGAAATGATGCCAAGTGTTTAATTTTGAGGAATGGTCTGAGATTGCAATTGAGAGCAATTGCAGCAGAACTGTTTTTTTTTCCTTCCACAGTGTAAGTCACTAATCCTAGGCTTTTCTGATGCAGTGGGTTGATTGTGTTTCACAATTGTTACGGATGTATCCTTTTGCTTTTGAGTTTTCTTCGGTATGTATCCTTCTTTCATAAGTGCACTCATTTCTCTTTTTGATGAAACTGCTCACAAATGCAGTTCAATTTGTCACCAAACAACTTTATTTGTTTTTCTAATGTTTCTTTGGGTCAGGTAACAATAGTTCATTAAATTTTCCTCTATTTTGTGATCTAGGCATTTCTGGTGGATCTATTGGACTCTGTTCTATCGTGTCGCTTTGGAAACTTCTTATGTAATAGGTAAGAAATTTGATATAGCATGTTTCGCATCTCCTCTGGAAAAACAAGTGGCTCATGGAAAATTGTGCTCAATTTGATTGAATAGTTGACCCAGAAACTTCGATGTAAACTATTATTCAATACTTCTTCCTGATTGCTCATGTATTTCAGTGAAAGGGAGAGGCAGCAATGTGGTGTACCCGATGCTTGTGGATGCATGTGGGCATATTTTGCTGATTTACGTGCTTCGCAGGGAAGTTCTCATGTGCACTATAACTACTTTTATGATCCCTTGAAACACGATGGTCCACTGTTACCTCCAGCAGCAGCTTTAGCACCAACTCTTTGGCCCCAATTCCATCTTCGTTGGGCTTGTCCCTTAGAGGCTCAAGTTGGAGGGGTTGAAGCTCAATTTAGGCAAATGGATGTCAAGTTCTCTGAACTACAAAAGGTAATAATACTTACTTCTGGCTTCTAAATCTTTCCTCTGAATCGTCTCTCTAGCTTTTTTCTTTTTAACCTGTTTTTGTCAAGAGGGCGAGTTCTTGATCTTGCCCTACAGCTCACAAATGCATCATGTTGGTTACGTTGTCTTTTAGGTTGTCTAATATTTTCATGTACTAGAAACTCGAGAATAAGGCCCTTTTTGGTCTCTAGGAAAACTGAAAAACCAACTGAATCAAGATCCTAGCTAAACTGGAGCAAGAATGCATACAAAGTGGATTAGGATATGAAAACAAAAAAACAATTTGAAACGTTTGTGTTTAATCTTTTATTTATAATCTCTATTCAGTTGCTATTGCTCACGGTGTCAGCCAAAACTTTATACCGTAGGTTGCTATTTATTGCTTGGATTGTAGTTCAATTATTTGGTAAATAAACCTGAGTATAATACGTACTCGTGTCAAGCAGGTCCTTTTAAGGCCAACCAAAAGAAAACAACTGCTTGTTTCTGTTTTTGGTTGCAAGTTGTGTTGGCTAGTTGTATTACCACCCCTAATTCACGCTGACCCCATTAAATAAGGATACAACGAGGGGTTGGTATATTCGATAATTTTTTGCTTATTGACAAGCTTAATATGTTTGTGGAAGATGGTGGTTTATGTTGCTTACATCTCTGATCTTTTGTTTCCCAAACTTAAATGGCATATTACATTCGCTTATGTGACTTGAATAATAACATTTTACGTTGGTTATGTCAAAAACTCCTTACAGGAAAAAGAAATGGCAGAAAGGAAAGCTAAAGAAATCGCCACCTTAATGGAATCATTAACTGCAGAATTGCAAAATGAGAAGCAAGTTAGCAGCTCGGCTAGGCAGATGGCCAAGAGGGCAAGCAGGGAAAGTGACGCCATAAAGCGAGCTGTCCAGTCACTGGGATGCAAGGTCCACTTTTCAAACAGTGGAGATTGCGCCGTTGACATCGAAAGCAGCCAATTTGCATCTTCGCAGAAATTACCTTATTATTTTAAAAGAGAAGCGGATGGCACCATGCAGCGGGATGAGAAATCAGACCTCTCTTTTTCAATCACAGTTATGGCAGATGACGATGCTTCCATCAACCCAATTGGCCGAGTATGTGAAACGTTATGCCCGTTAGGCATGCGAGATGGGGGCTGCCGGTGGCCACATGCTGGTTGTGCTCAGTTGGGTAGCCAGTTTCTCGGAGTAAAGGCTAACTACGAGGCATTTGATAAACTTTCTATTTATGATAGCTATTTCCAGCCGAAATAATACCATATAAATTTGGAGCTTTCTTGGAGGTACCAATCCAAACTCACTACTCCCGCAGCGTTATCCCTGTGGAAATTCCCATTAGAGTTCAAAGTTTCTTTTAGCATAGTTCCAAGATTATTTGTAGCATGCCAGAAAGCGAACACGAAGAACGACGAAGGACGGACCCGATAATTGAAGATGGGTCTCGAGATGTATTGTACAGAGGATGTAAAGTCAGCAGAGGACCGTTTCTATCGGTCCTTGTAGCGGCGAAAGGAAAAACCGGAATGGTGCAAGATCTGGTGTCTATATAGTGGGTCAGTCGTCTACTTCTCATTACATTTTTGTTTGATGCTCGTATGGGTTAACTGTAAAGGTTGCAATTAATCTCCTAAACGAGGTTAGTTTTCGATGCGATTTATGTACTGTTACATTGTTTTTGTCCAGTATTCGCTCAATTCCAGAACAGAACCGTAGCTCGTGAACTCCAAAACAATCGTTGAGGCGCGACAGGTGAGCGTTGCAGAAAGCCGGTTATCTGTAAAACACAGAACTGCTTGCAAACAGGCGATTGCTTACTCCACAGACGAAAACAATTAAGATACCTGTAAAGAGCATACCAATGGTTGGTCATTACCATAGTAAAGTACCTGTAGCAACCAAATTAAGATATCCGATTTATCCTGTTATAAATAAGTAGACAACTAAACTGTGAAAGGCAATCGAACACCTCATCCTCAACTTGTCAACCATGGAGAAGCCGCCCCCTTCCGGCGAATCCCACGACGGTGAATCCGTCATCAGCAGTCTCCAAGAATTTTCAAGCTCAACCGTACACAACCACCCTGTATTTCAAGCTCAAAATTTGTGCCCTAATTCTCATAAATAGAAGGAATTTCCCTATTCAAAACCATAGATACATAAATTTACAGCTAAGAGTTTGAAAACGGAATTGGAAGATTTATGAATTTCACGCCTTCTGACAACGAACAGAGAGATCGGCGAGCCCTGAGAATTAGGGATTTAGGGCTGACGGAGGAGCGAAACCACTCGTCGTTCATGAATCACGACCTGGAGGCGCTCCGTGCTCTTTATGATGGATGCTCTCTGTCCAACTAATTTCATGTCTGAACGATGAAAGAGAAATGAGAGCTCGTCCGAAATTTTGAAAAATTCATTGATCAACACTGTTCACCAGCCTGTTGAAGTTATAAGCTGGTTTTTTAAGATCTGGTTTGGTACTGAGAGGATTCTGAAAAAAAACTGGTATAAAAAAAAGCTGAGAGCTGTTTTTGTGTTTGGTAAACATTCAGTTTTTTTTCACAGTTTTAGGTGAAAAAAAGCTAAAAACAAGAAGCTGCAAAACCTAACTTTGAAAAATCGACTTTTTTTCACATCTATTTTACATAAAAGTTTACCAAACACTATAATACTGTTTTTTTTCTTTTCAAAAACACTTTTACAAAAAAGTTTACCAAACACTCTGCTGCTTTATTTCACAGTCGCTTATTCTCACAGCACAGCAGAATCATTTTTTTTTCAAAGCACAGCAATACCAAATCAGCCCTAAAGCTTCTTGCTGCTTCGGGTTTTCAACTTTTTTTTTAGCCAAAACTCTGAAAAATAGTTGCTTACCCGTTTTACCAAACATAAAATTTCCCCAGCTTTTTACGGTCAGTGCTTTTATTTTTTATTTAAGCTGTACCAAACTGGTACTTAATTTAAACTAAACTACGTAGAGAGCAATTCGAGCTTGCCTGAAGAGGAATACGCTGCTCCAGTCAACTTGACTAGCCCGCATCTACCACATTTCTAAAAGATGCTGTTGCAGTCGAAAAAAAATCTGGAAATTACTAATAGCATCAACATCAACCTTGTAAATTAAACACTCAAACTGCAGATCTTACCATTCCTCACCTCACCTACAAAAATTATTTGTGTACGGAGGAAATATCTATTTTCATCCGCTTATAAAACCTGCCAACACTGCAAGGAAAAGTTCCATCTCTTCTTTCATCCCCCTTCATCTCTTTCTCTTGGCACCAGCACCTGAACCTCGGCCGCCCCTTTTCTCGCTGGCAGCAGCAGCAGAACCACCTCTACCCCTGCCAGCTGGTGTCTTCTTTGCACTTGTATTTGGCGCACCCTTCAAATCGAATTGTACTTGCACTCCTGCACGGTATGAGGAACGCAAAAATCATGCACTCTGGAACGAATTGTACTGGTACATTTAAATAGCCTGAATATGCGAGCTTTCAAATTTAGTCGCATCCATGTAGGATGCACCAGTTACCTTTTGTGTTCAAACTTTGCAGTTCCTTTTGCAGCTTCTCACCAACAGCTGAACCTTCTAACACACAGAAAAAAATCACTAAGTGATCACAAATAAGTCAGATGGTACCAACCAGAATGGTTAGAGTCCAGAAGCAAACTAGCTCGCGTAATTTTTCGTTCCATTTACAACCCTAATGGCATAACTAAAACTTTTTTCTGAGTAAGGTCCTTCCGGCAATATATAAGAGAATTACAGTGTCATTAACTCTAAAACAAACCATTTCTGGCGGTGTCAAGTTTCTTTACAAGAAACAGAGCAAAATCCTAGAACATTATTTCAATATTCTACAGAGATGCACACTCAGAGGCAATAATATATCAACAGGTCACGAAAGAACATTTTTAAAGCATTCCCTGTAATTCATTTCCTCTACTTTCTGCAATTTGGAAAACCCAGATAGCATGGAACATGCCCTCCATTTCTTATGAAGTACAACATGTTAGCATACACCATTTTTATTTTACAGCATAATAATGATAGAGCTTTCTGTTCCAGAAACATCTTAAGGCAACACCTTTTCACAAAATATACTGCAGAACAAAATGGCCATTTATGGTTATGAAAACTTTCCGAAAACTAAAGTAGGCCCACCAAAAAGAATTATCTATAAAAGAGAAAAGGAGCAGCAAAATGATGAATGAAAAACTTACCCAAGTCCTCTGTATCTGACGAATTTTCATCTTCACTCTGAACCAAAGTATCATCAATGTTCTCTCCAATTGCATCATCAGATGGTTCTAAAAGCGCAGCAATCCGCTTCTTAGGGGCCTTTTTCATTCCAGGAATAGTGACAAAATCTGCAGCTCGTACCATCCTTGTTTTGCTTCCTTCTTTGTATGCTTTTGTCAGAGCTGCTTTTACAGCAGGCACTATGCCATCTAGCGGATTTGGATGCCCCTGATATATAGCATAGCGATGAGAAAAATTTGAAAATTTTGGAGCAGTATAGCAACAGCAACCACCATGCCTGCACCAAGCGTTACCTGATATTTGGATAACTCCACAATAGTATCAAAGTCATCCTGACTAATGGAGTAAGTGTTCATGAACTCCACAACTTCCTGCACTGCTTCATCCTGATATTGTGTAACATAGAAGATGGATTTACAACTGATCATCAACACAACTGTTTTACATATTTTGCAATTAATGTATATCTTCATATACTAGAATAGATTATCTCCAACCTTAGGCAGTTCACGGAGAGGCGTGGTCAATCGTTTCAGAAGAAGAGAAAGGTATTCAACTCGCACTGTTTCCCTAACCAATTTACAAACAAGAAATTAAGAAGACTCCAAGGTACACAAAATCAGACAAATAAAAGTGGTAGAGAGAGGAAGGGAGGGAGGGGTAGTGGTCTTGAATGTACACATTCACTAATAAAAACCTTGGCATGACGAACTTTTTATTTCTTTTTTGTCACAACTACATGATAAAATATCAGGAATCCAATTAAATATATCGAACATAATTCAACAATTGGAAATTTCCAAAATTTTCCAGTTAAAATGCAACAGTAGGACTGAAAACAGAAGGAAAAATAAAAGTAACCACTAAACTCCTAAACAAATATATACAGTTGAAGTTTCCTTGGCAAGGATACCATGGCCATGCACACACAAGAAAATATAAGCTTACAACTTTCCACATGGATCTAAAGTTCTAGGGCTCCATATAAACACCATTGGTTGCATACTTGTATATTATTTTCAATCCTTATATAAGTCAATAACGTTGAGCATTATGGCCTTGTTTGGTGTCTGGGATTGGATTGCTGAATGAAGAAACGGAAGTCACTTCCAAAGTTTGTCCAAGTTTAAAGTAAAAGATGGATTTATGAAGGATTGACAAGGATAAGTTTCCTTCATGTTTCCTTCATGACTAATCCATCTTCTACCTTCAACATGGAAGCTTTTTGAAAGTTGAATCAATTTCTTGCTTCAACACGCTGAATCTAGTGACTTCTCCCATCCAATCCAATCCTTGACGCCACACGAGGCTGTATGGTGGCATAAGCCATTGCAAAACTCAAATGCATTAGGTTACCGACCAAAAATTCAAACATAGAACGGAAACTACCTCCCCGAACTAGATTCACGAGAAGCAAGAAGATGGACATGCAAATCTTCCAAGAGCCTACGATTCTTTCCTAATGTTGAGTTCTTTCCCAGCCACCCTCCAAATCTATTAAAATTCCTTTCTCCCTGCACAATAAGGTCAACTTGTGGCGATAAGCATAAACCTTGATGCATATAACATGCATATTTGAAAACACTAGGAAGATATACAACAACAACCACCAAGCCTTATCCCACTAGGAAGACATATAACCCAACAAAAATATTTATGAAGTGAAGAAATGGATTAATTTAGTCTTTTTTTTTTTTTTTTTTTTTTTTTTTCAGATTCTTTACAATACTATACACAAGTCAACAAAAGATCCTAATATTATGCGCACCCCTCTGTGTAGCTTTATAGATGTAACGTGATCATAGGAAAGCTGTATAAATAAAATGTGAATAACACAGAAAAGACCATTATAGAACCATTTATATGAAGGCTGCAACAATATGTGCATCGCTAGAGCACACAGAATGAACACATTTTCAAGGCCAAAGAGAGGACCAGTTAACGCTCTTTGAATTTATAAACTTGCAAGGAAAAGGAAATAAATTACCTGCTCAAGTGTCTCTCTTTGCCCCCGCAACAACGCAGCACTGGTTATAGATATAAAATAATACCACGAATCAGAAATTATGTATAAATTCATAAAGAAATTATCTCAGCTGATGTGAAGAAACATACGGAATTATAGAGGATGAAAGAGAAGCACTTTGGGAAAGCTGCCATTGCCGATATTTCCTAATCTGTACATTGAAAATATCTCCATTGCCAATAGACTCAGCGGCACGGGCAATCAAGTTCATACGTTTAATACCACTATCATCTTTAACAGCTGCACTTGGCCTATAGTTGATATAATTTTCCTACCAGAAATTGAAAAATGGAACTAATGTATTAGAATATTTAAACTTTTGGCTACAAATATGATCATTTGGAAAAAAAAGAATAGCGTGCAGTTTTTAAAATTTGATGAGTGCAGAAGCATAAGTAGATTCAAGTGAATGCAACTTTCATCCAAGTCCATCAAGAATCAAAGTAACCAAAAGAAAATAAGTAGAATAACATTCTGATTCTAGTCATTTGCATGAGAACAAGCGGCACTAAGATCTTAAATCAACCAACACGATTTGAAAAGTTGTAGGAGACGTGTAAGCCTCATGGGAAGAGAGATAGAGGGAGATGAGAGGGAGAATCTGATAACTTTGAAGTCAAATTTTCCATCTTTTCTTCCTACTTAATTGTTATTGTACCAAATTACAAAATATTCAAAATTATATCTCATGAGACAGATATTCCTCTTTCTATTTTTCTCTTTTATTTTTGGTCAGAGTCAAGCTACAAATGTAAAACAAGTTCTTCATATTGATGCCAGTTCAAAAAACATCAAAGAAATTTCAAAAACTTATATTTCTCAGAAATAATGCTCCTACTAGGTAAGTGTCCCTTCAAAATTCTGGCCCTCATTAATACCATCTCCCACCGAAAAGCATTACCAGATGAAGCTTCATACAGTCATATTTTTACTATAAAAATTCCACTCCTGATGTTACTGTCCTTTCTTTACAATTAACCTATGTGAAACAAACTAAAGCATTGCACTGTTTGTTATAGCATTTTTTATCCAGTATATGCCAGCCAAAAAGCAAGTGTGCTAGCAAAGAAAGAACCTGGATTAGTAGAGGGACTAGGTCAGGATCACTCATACTCAGGTCAACTCGCTCATCCATTCGCAGCTTTCCAGCATTAAAACCAAACAGCCTGCAAGCATAAAAGACAAGCCGGCATCGCGCACATGGTAAAGAGAAATAAAAATACCGTATCTGGTCATACAATAAATGTCAAAAGGTTATATTGGATAAAGTAAGGTTTTGAGCATCGTAACAGTGGAGTTTTGTGGGAAAATGTGACATTTTGTGAATTGTGTGACAGTATAGGTTCTGTGGGATAAATTGAGGTTTTGGACAATCAATTTTTTTTAGAAACGATAAAATTTTATTAAAACAATAACATGAATTACAAAAAAGTGGATAAGAAATCCACCATCTAGTAAAACTAGCTTAAGACCTCTCAAGAAAATCTATTTACAAGTAACTAAAACTAAAGCTAAACCAAATTTTTTTTAGAAAGAGAATAACTGAACTCATTAGAAACTGATGCCCAGTATCTTACTCTACCCATAGTTCTACCCCACTCCATTATAATCCTCATAAACTCTTCTACAACGCTCCAACCAAATGTTTCAAAAAACTGCCCCGCAAAGCTTTGGCTTTCCTCCCCTTTCCTAAAGCCTCGAACTTGGTGCTTAGAAGCTCGAAACAACCCTTTGGAATAACCCAACTTGCTCTAACTTCCAGGAACAATTTCCACCACAACTGTGTTAGGTAAGAACAATGGAGAAAAACATGATTAACACTCCTCAGTTTTACACAAGATGTACCAATGGGGAGAAATGCAAATAAAAGGCCTTCGCCTTTGAACTTGATAACAGGTGTTGGTAACAGGAGTTGGCCTTCCCAATAGCCAAGAACTTTGACTTTCGGAGGAGGTTTTGAATTCCAAATCTGAGAAAAGGGTCAAAAATGTTGCACAGTTCCATTACCCCCCATCGAGAAATAGAACTGACTAATCCTTAAGGCAAAGGGTCGAGAAACTGGCTCTCTTCTGTGTTTATAGAAATACTATATTTTTGGCAGATTTAAGGGCTATAATTATTTAAACTTATGCAATGTGTTTGTATTCTTTTTGTATGGTAGATGGAAAACTTCTTTTCTCATAAATAATATTATTTTTTTTAAAAGAGATTTGGTTCAGAGCAGTAAGTTGTTCTGATTTGTGGATGGTAGGTTAGTTTCTCTATTTCTCTCTCAGTAAATAGCTTGTCCATGGCATCCTATTAAAAGCAAAAGTATAAGTATAATTGAGAGCAAAGCAGTGAAGTTAAAAACATGGTTCAAACAACCTCAAATTATCAATCAAGAAACCAAGTTCAGAAAATGCAAATGAATAAGAGACAAACATATCAAAGATTCAAAAGACAACAAGATGCAGAGAACCCGAGCCAAAAAGAGATCTTTGCTGCCATACTTGTCAACAGCTGTGAATGGTGAAATATCTTCATCCTTTGAACTGCTTAATAAACGCTGCCGTACATCATCATATTTAATGACAGACATTGAGAGGCTCATATATTGCAATTGGTTAACTGCCATTCGCATGTCTCCATTAACTTTTTCTGCAAGTTCCTCAAGAGCAATCTGACAATGAATAGAAAATTAATCAACAAGGGGGAAAAAGAATCTTTAGACACATGCCGGAAACCGGAGAAGCGCGGTGCCTGATCACATGTAAAACCATAATAAAAAATGATTATGAAGGTTAGCACTAAAAAAAAAAAAAAAGAACCAATACCTAAACTGAGTTTGGTCCTAACAACATCTCATCCCAGGGAAGAAAAAGAACAATTACAAGAAAAATGGTAGGGGGGGAAAAGAGAAAATGGAAAAACAACTACACTGTAAAGAACCATATAAAACTTTTCTAAACTAAATTAACATGGGGAGAAAAAAAAAATTAAAATTCTACAATATGTTGTGTTACAACAGCAGAATTGTATCCCACATGATATTTTGGTGAATGGAAGCTTTTGTAGCACTATAGTATATGAAAACACCAAAAAGTATACTAACATCACCATGGGAAAAAAATGCACTCAGAGTTGTAAAGCATTTACCTCATTAACTTGAAGGCCTTCAGCATTTGCAACTTGCATCAACCTCTTTGCCATCTACAAACCATAAACAAAATTTAATAACAGCATAGTGGCAGCAACCTTATTATTCTTCAAAGGTATGTCAAATATAAGTGTCAAAAAGTCTGAAGTTCCAAAATAAAAATCACTTGACAAAATCTCAAATGCAATTTCCTTATCCATCAAAAACAAAATCTTGCAAATGGAAATCACTATTGCAGAGTTTTATAGATGAAAATTAATCTTCCCCTTCCTGCCCCACCAAACTACAATGTCAACCCACTTGTTTAACGATCAAAATTTATATTTGGTAACAAGAAATTTTTGTAGCACTCAACACCACAGTCCAACAAACATTATAAGCTTATACTATAGAAGCATGTTGTAAAATTCTTTAAAAAAAAAAATATTAGTCAAGTGAAAGGACATGTGTTAGATGATCAGGTGTATGGTGAGCATACACCATAGTTATGGTGGTAAGCAAAAATGCTCCCGCATCATAACCAGCATAAACAATTTCAATTTTCATCACAAATGTCAATTTGTATGTCTGAAAACATAACATTGCATCAACGTAGCAAACCAAAAAAAAAGAAGAAAAAAGAACTTCAACAATAAGGCATGATTCAGAACGAATAACTAAATGTGCAATTGACTAGAAGAAACAATATGGATATTCTTCCAAATACTCAAATATACATGGGTACAAACAATTTAGGGAGGTGGAAGGAGACCTGTTGCTTGGTAGGTTTGCGAAAACTGAGAAGCAAACAGTAGTTCACAAGACTTTTTAGTTTCTGACTGTAACGATCATTACAAATGCAGATAATAGGAATTTTTGAAATCTTTATGCTAGCAATAAGATCAGCAACTCCTCCCCGATCTCCAGCAGACATCCCATCAACCTCATCCATAATCAGCACAGTTTTTGGATGCTTTGATCTGCAAATTTAACTAAGCATCAACTAGAGAAAATAATTCTAACAGGCACATCTTATGTGTAAATGCACCCCAAATAATATATACTATAGATTAGGCTTAATTACTGTGTTCCCCCTTGAAAGATGTCTCTAATCCCACTTAACCGCGAAATCAGTCAGGATCCCCCTCTCTGCCAAACCCCCATCCAACCCTTCCCCAAATTCCAACAGATTTCACTGCCAATCCTACTCCTTGTACCCCTTCCTCCCTGCGCACCCTCACCAACCCCCATCCCCACCCTCTCTCATTAATTTTTTAAATTTCCCTCTCCTTAAGAATCTCACTTGAGCCACATCAGCAGCTAAGGAATTTTTTACGAACTTGACGGTGAGGAGAAAAATGGGACTCAAAAAGTGCGATTAGGACGAAATACTGTAGTGAAGCCATTGTTGAGAGAGAGAGGGAGAGTAAAACCAACCCATCCATGCTCAGGGCCTTGTTACTGACAAGCTCTTTAATTGAATTTGCATTGCTTCCACCAATTCCCTTTTCAATCTTTGAATCAGCTTTCCCACGACTGTCACTAGCATTTACCTAAACAATTCAGCAATATTCAAATTATCTTTTAGTTCTGCAAAATTCAAATTTAGCAGGAGAGAACAGAATATAGCATTCAGTAACATAATTCAGCAATATTCAAATTCTGTCATAGTTCTGCTTATTGGTTAAAGTATGACACCTCAATTGCCTGGAAACCAAGCATCTGACTGACTAACTTTGCAGACGTCGTTTTCCCTATACCAGGTGTTCCACTTAAAAGTACAGCCTTTTTTGCACCAGAATTGGTTGGGTTTTTTCCTTTTTTCTTATCTCCAGTATCAAGAAATTGCTCATTCCAATGTGACAACCAATCATGAAGCTGCTTTACCTGCAGATTAGACATTACATCATCTGTATCGAGCTTTACTTCTGCTTCCCAGAGAGATGCATGTGCAGACAACGATTCAACAGCACATGCAATGGTGGCAAAACAATGACCAACATACCAGTGATTGATTGCCAATAATGTCGTTTGGAACCTTTGGCCTATATTTTTCTGTCCAAGTAAAAGTAGAATGCTCGGTAGTTTGCTTCTTACGCCTAGCAAGGGAGGCATCTGACTGCAACTGTTTGCTAGATGCACTTGATGCCAACGAGCTTCCGGTGCAATCTTCTGGAACAGTCACACGCCAATTTTATAAGAAAAATCCAATAATGATGCAACTACTTTTGTTTTTCAAATAAGACGCAGCTGCTTAATTAGCCTCAAAATCCATATAACAAGAAAAACATTACCTTTGGTCTCCATGTCATAAAGAGTGCACAATAATTTAAACACTTTTGAAAATCGAGACAAATAGGAAGGAAAAATAAGCAAAAACATCACATCACAAAACATAAAGTTGATTCTGAAGAATAGATAACAACTAAAACTTAAAAATGTAAGTTTTATTCCCAAGTAACACTGAGAGCAGAAAACTTTGGATACATGGTCCCAGTTAGCAAATAAAAAAAATGTAACAGAAAATAAGTTAATCATACTGATACCATCTGTAGTTTGGAACACTTCGTACTACCCTATGAACATAGTCTGACAAAGAACAGATAATAACCACTCAAATAGCAGAACGAGATGAAGGCAGTACAGAAAAAGATGGATCAGGAGCCATCAGGAAGATTATTAAAAACCAGGTAAATAAAAGATAAACTACACAAAACAAAGAAAAAAAAAATAGTCCAAAACAGCAGGGCAATCAATTGTAGCAAAGTAATAGAGACATCATTAAAGTTCTGGGTGTCCCAACGAGACGCCATAAATGAATTATATCTAAAGGTGTAGCACAACTTTTTTTTTCTATCACCAAAACTTCACATATTCATTCCTTCACACACCACCCAAGCGGATGCAAGATGGCACGCCGCCACAAGGTTCCAAAGTTATTTTTCATTTTCCTTCCCAAAAAGCATTCAGACAACAAAGAACCACAGTGCCACAAATCACCAGAATTAGCCAAACTAAAGGACCACATCTGTTCCCAATTGTGTACAGAAGAAGAGAGTGCAAAATACATGATCAAATTATTCACCACAACAATGAACGGTACTATTGCCCTTATATGCTATCTGTGCAAAAATATGTATAAACACTATGGACACAAGATAATTGAGAAATAAGACACCCTTGACCCTTTTCATATATTTAGATTATAGAGCAAACCCTTGAAGAGAAGTACAAATTCAATCCCTTGAATCGGATTATATTGCATAAGAATTAACCTAATTGGGCACCACAAGCAAGCATGAGAGAGGGAGACAAGCAAATAAACATCTACATAATTAAATAGAGGGAGAGAAGCAACTAAACATCTACATAATTCAATGGCCTAAATGTATAATGAGGACAATGCAAGAACACAACGAATACATATATTACAAAGTTTGACAGAGAAAAAAGATAAATCAGAATGAAAAGCAAGTTTCAATCAAGCAACAAACTATTGAGACTCGAGCTATCATACACACCCAAATTATTGAGTAAACCCAGCCAAACCAAAAACCAAATTATATATCTGCAATTAGAACAACACACCCAAATTACTTAATGAACTGGGACATACTCTTCAATGTTACTTTCTTAGGGCTTTTACTGTGCAAAGATGCTGCTGCAGCATCATCCACAGATTTCTTTGCTTCTTGTACAGGTACTTTAGCACCAATAGACGCCCGAATCATACCAAACAATCCATCCTCGGTAAGAAAAGCCGTACTACAAAATACAATTATTATTTAGATAAAAATAAAGCAAATATAGGAAATATGAAAAATCTAGTTCGGTTTAAGACAGCAACCCAAGTTCTTTGGCTTTGGAGGATTTCCTTCCCTCAATATCTTCATCGCATAAAAGATAATTCTGCAAATAGACCATGTTAATCAAATGTTAGCACTGGTATGTAAATTGAAGGGAAGGGAATACAAGATAGAAACATCAACAAACCGTTTTCTTGCTGACAGATCCAGTAATACGACCGCCATGACGTTTAATTAAATCCTCTGCTTCTTCTCTTTCCAAACTGTAAGTAGTAAAGTTTAAACTTCAATATTAGAATGAATGGAAAACAAACATTTATTGAAATCTACCAAAGAAAATAGGGAAGAAGAAACTCATGCTGCCAGACAAACACTATACTTGAAACCATAATACCTACACAATCCTGACAAGCATGTGAATGTCACAAATATATTACAATAAATACCTGTCAAGTGTACCACTAATTACAAAAGTCAAGCCAGCTAAACAATTGGGAGCACCTTCAGGAACTTCCTGAGACATGCAAACATGGACTAATCGGTAACATCAAGAATAATACAATAATTTTAATAATCAATTCCACATATTCCAAAACATTAAACCTTTTCTCCTTTGTGTGGAGGATCTTTCCTTTCTCCAAAATTCATAAATCCGCCTCGTCCAGCACCCCTGCCTCTTCCACCAGCTGGTGCTGCCGAAGCACCTCTTCCACCACGACCCCTACCAGCCGGCTTGAGGGATGATTCGGCAACCTTTTCATCTTCATCGCCACCTTCATCAATAGCCGTAACCTTCCGTGGGATTCCCGTGCCAGATGTGCTCTTCAATTTCTTACTAGGAGTAGCATCAACTGATTTCTTCTTCGAATTAGGAGAGACAAAATCGTCATCATCGTCATCATCAACTTTGTGAGCTTTTTTTGCAGGTGAAGGTTTAACAGATTCATCAGGATCCTTGTGAGGCTTTCTTTTGGCTGAAACTTCAGTTGTTCCTTTTTCATCTTTTGGCTTATCTGTGGGGAAATACTTGCTCGTTTTCCTCCTACCAGAATTTTCTTGACCTCCTTGCACCTGGTTTATCACAGATATCAGAATTAAAGAACAAAATGGAAACCTTATTATGATTAATATAGTTTCACAATTCCCCTGTTTCCATGACTCAAACCCGTGATCTTTTGGCCACAAAGAAGCAACCTTTCTGTTGCGCCAAGAATCACCCTCAAAATACACACAATATGACTAAGAAAATAATCCTCCTTTTCATACAATTTTCTCAGCAAAACCGAGCAATAGTATGAATTTCATGTTGTTAAAAAAGAACATTGAAACAAACGTAAAATGCAATGAACCTACTGGTTCTTTAGGCTCAGTCTTCTGTGAAACGGTCGCCTCCGGTTTCTTGGTGTTTCCCTTGTCGTGCGACTTCATAAACCACTTCCTAATATCTGCCTGGGATTTGATTCATCCAAATAAACAAACGCCAGACAAAAAAAAAAAAAAAGATTTCATCATCAGCTTATGAAGGGCAAGAAGAATAATCAACCGTCAAATCTTTAAACCCTAGAAAATGCAATTTGGAGGAAAGTTTAGCATGAAAAAATAAAAAAAAAAAATTAGTAATCTGAAGTTACCATGTCTGAAGCTTTGGTTAAGCTACAATGCAGTATCAAGGACACTAAATTATCTCAGAAATCAAACCCACACGGAAACTTGAAGAGGTCTTTGCCTTGGGTTTTTAGGGTGTGTTTGTGTTTGTGTAAGGGTTTAAAAGGGAGTCTTGACAAAATGGTGGGATTCTTGAATACCCTGTTTGGGTAATTTTACAAGGGTCTTAAGAAAACGAGGGATTAATTAAACTGTATCTCAAACCCCTCCTCCGCCTCAAGAGGTAGGATTGCGTCGTCCCTCCTTCCTCGTGATTCCTCTCTCTCTTGCTGCACTGTGCCTCCCTTCACTCTCGCTGCCTGCACTCCCCCTCGCGATCCCACGCCTGTTACCTCTTGTTTGGTTGCTGAGAAAGAAAATCAAGTTCACTGGATTTCAATCGCTGCTTTCTTCTTTTCCTGCTGTATTTAAGTTATTTTATTTTTGGGTTTATTTTATTTTCTGTAAATATTTTGTATTTATCATTTTTTTTTTTTTTGCCCTGAATTATCATTATTAGGACACTTATATTTTATAACCCTTCTTCCAGAACATTTTTTTTATTTTTCAGTTTTGATTTAGACTTTTTAGCAAATGGTTTTGAAATTTACATGTTGGTCTCTAACAAAAATTGATAGAAGAGTTTTTAAAGTTTGTCCATTATAAATTATTTTTAGTTATTGTATGAAAATCTATCTATATTTTTGTTAAATTATCTGATCACCTTTTTAAAAGTATTTTAATCAAAATCAATTCATCTACTTAACAAATATATTGATAAATTTTTTTATAATAAACAAATTCTAATATCATTTCTATTGAGTTTTATTGTCAGATACCAAAAGATAGAGGGTCATGTCAATCTAAAAAAATATTTTAATTTAATCTTTGTTTTTAATACATAATCTTTTTCTTTTCATATAACAAACAAATAGACATTAGATAAGCATATTAAAAATCAAAACCCATCTCCAATGAAGGGCTACATGGAAACTTAAAAAAAAAAAAAAAAGTTCAGTAGCCCAATCCTACCGGGCTTGCCATATTCGGCCGTCAAAAATAGAACGGGCCAAAATTGTCCATGGGCCCAGCCTGAGAAAAGTTGCTGGGATAACTGGGTTGATGCAATCGGGTGTTGCGGGTTGCATGTTTTATCACACACACGCAGTTTTTTATGTATAAAATCAGGCACCCGAGTACATCCAACGGTCCAGGAAAAGCAGGCTGACGTCAACTAGCTATTACATGCACTTTACAGGGTTTACCATCACTGCTCCCCAAATAACGTTAAGGGGACATTATGATTCAACCGTTACTGGGGGAAAGTTTGCTTCATGATTGTACTTTGGTAAAACTTGCTTCATGATTTAATCATTGGCATGGAACGTCACCGTGGCGGTGTGCCAAGGCAATGAAAGTCCCAAACGTTTAAATTGTTCTTTCACTTTAATTCACAAGGCAATGCAGAAGTTGTGTGAACGTAAAACCACATCCCAGAAAACAATGAACGGATCGAATAACTAGCAGTAAATCTTATAAGTCGTAACGAAATCAAGACTGGAAAGTGAAAGAGAAAACACTTTCTTTACTAAACACACTCAAGGAATCCAGAAAGTAACTTGTAGTTTCTATGTTCCATATTTCAAGCGTGGTCAACATATGAAAAAACTATTCATCAGCATTAGACCGTCCGTCGTCCGAAGACCCGTCCTTTTTATCCCTTCTTTCCTGCCATCTTGCCCAAAGCCACCTCAAAACCAGATACCCTCCAAGTGCAGAAAGCTGAAAGTAGGCAAAGTAACATAATTAAAACACGACGGGAAGTCACTGGTTCATGAGAGAAAAAATGGACAGAAAGCCAACACATTTTCTGCCTAATTGATGGTGAACACCATGCTATCAAAATCTGAACTAAAGTACAAGCTTGTGGAGAAAACAACAAAGTCGTAACTATGTTTTTGCTAATCCGAGTAGTTTTTATCAAGAAGACACAGATTTGTAGCTACCAAGTTCATGCCTCTCCTCAATGGACCGATTAGAACAAATTGGAGTCATATCTTCAAACATAAAAGATCAACACCGACACATAGCAAAGTCTCACAAGTGTGTGTGTAAGTTGTATGTTTATGAATCATGAACATACAATTGCTCTCTGCTTCTGTGTAAAACAAAATATGAATGGTTTTTCTTGATACAACAATGAAATATGCATCTTAACCATCGGTGCAAAATTTGAAAAACATTACAACTAGTGGAAGCTTTTAGATGTAAAGATTCAGCAATGCTCACAATTATCAAATCCCTACCAAACTGATGTTCCAAGTCTTACTGCCTTATAAGCAGAATAGTCGACCACGACTTATTTACTTGCGTTTGATACGACATTGAAATGCCAGTTCAACAATCAACACAAGTCAATCATTCAAGATCTTGGTAAAATATCTCAATCCACCAGTACTATAGAGTTAATGACTGCTATTGTTATCTCACCTATTAGCCATCACGTGGATTTAGTCAACTTATATCTGCATCATATTAAACTGCCCACCTAAATCTCCATGACAACTTTCCCCACTCATATTTTCCAACCATACCAAGAGAAACAAGACACTTTGAGCACAGTCACGCCGCGGACCCAGTGATTGGTTGATAAAGTGGCAAGAGATAACCACCCAATCCGAAATCGTAAAGGCCAAGTTTATTCCTGCAAGTGGTGTCAATTGCATGATAAACACCTTGAAATCCCACTTGCTGCGTCCAGCTGCAAGACTGCTTACAAGCAGCTCATTCATTTCCTAATTATCACTATAGATGGACATAAAACTACCTCAAGCCATGTCTAAGTTATAGCTTCCAATGGTAAGCACTAGAGTGCTTAATATGCACTTCCAACTAGCACACTCTAATAACTAAAGATATAAAAGAATAGGTGGAAAGCACACTGGTTTCAAATTGGTTTTGAATTGACTGCGATCTCAAAACCAAACGTCTAGAACTTATAAGATATATATTTGGTAGGATTCACTATGACAATAAAATACGTTATTTTTGGACTAAAAAATACAGGGTCTCACAACCACTGAGCTAAAGTGATCATTATTCATGTGGAGATGACTGTGTCGTCACCAATCTTCAAAAGAAAATCCACGTTAATCTTTTGAAATCCTTTTCGGAGTCCCTCAAGATAAAGAGCACAAGCTGGAATCAATCCAATGCTATGTAAAATGATCTCTTCACCTTGCAATAGTAGCCCTCCTTCAAAATGCCCACCCATTCACTAAGCTACATCTGCTTAACCAGTTAAACACATATAAAGACCTCTATCTCACAAGTAGTTGTAATCTCTAGGCCTCACCAGACCATCATCATGTCAGTAATTACTACACATTTGTGTTTCGAGAAAAAACCGTGAGAACAAACAAACAACAGGATGATTGTAGGCAGTGTACAAACAAAACTAAAAACCCTTCATCACACTTCCTTCACCCTTTCTTGGTGCAGCAATGCAAACTTTGATAAAGGGTTGTGAATCGAAAGTTGCATACACCCGAAAAACCGTTTTTATGAAGCTAAACTCCTACACTCAGTCCCGTTCCTATCCAATTTATGTTTCTGGTAATCAAAATTTCAAACGACCAGCATAAATCAAGACGTATCCATATTTTTTCTTCATGTTAAATTCAAGTTTCATCACGAAAAATTCCAAGTTCAAATACGAGGATGCAAGAAACCAACTCACATACAATCATGAATGAAAACCCAGATTTCATATACAACAAATTAGCAAAATTTCATGTAAAAAAATGAACAAAATAAAATAAACCAGAGTAAAAAAGCCATGCCTGCCAGAGTATAATAGGATTGGAAGTCTTAGTTATGGGCTCTTCGCACTCAACCGCCACAGGCGGAGGAGCCACCACTTGCGCTTTCGGGAAGCTCAGAACGACCGGCTTCGGCGTCTTACTTTCAGTTCCTTCTTCTGGTTTCCTTGGCTCCTCTGCAACAACGACGCTTGCCGCTTCTGGTTCTTGCTTCAGGAAGGGGAGTTGAAGCTTGAACTTGGGGAAGAGTGAAAACAAGTTTTTGGGTCCTTTTGGGTCGTCTTCTTTGTTTACAATCTCTGTGTTTTCTGCCATTTTTGGGAGAGAAAGGGCGATTCTGAATGTGGGTTTGGAGTGCAAACGGCGGATAAAGCGAGCAGAATGAGATGTTGAAAACGCCGCTTTTCTTATATTTTCTCCCTCTCTCTTTTTCTTACTCCAGAAGGTCCTCCATCCTCGTCTAAATTTAAAAATTAAAATTATTAATGTGGTGTTTTGAGAAAGGTAAAAAAAAAATTAATAAAAAGCATTTGAAAACTTTAAATTTTTACGATAAAAACAAAATAAATGATAAAATAAATAGTATTAAATTAATTTTTTAATGTAAAAATATGATTTTTTTATTAAAGTAAATCGTATCAAAAAATTTTCGTTAAAGTTCCAAAAAAAAAACAGCAACACTATTTATAATAATTATATTTTTCTTAAATAAATAAAAGTTTAAAACATATGATTTTGATATTCGTCTATCCATTCATTATCTGGATAATTGAATATAATAATGTTAACCCAATTGCGTTTACTGGTTCTTTTTTATTACGCCTCGAATCCGGGATGGATGAAAAACTTGAATTTAGAAGGCGAATTAAATTAATAAAAAAAATTATATTTAAAACTCGTATTCTAACAAGGCTACAAAGAAAATAAAATAAAATAAATTTGTCCAAAAAAAGAAAAGAAAATAAATAAATAAACTTCTAGTCTCACATTTAGTTTGATTTCAATAGAAAGCATGTAGTTCACAATCACCTTCATAGATCTCGTGACAACTCAATAAACACGGTGATACAACCATCATAGAGTGGTCTAACAGTTGTAGATAAATTCTAAATTCGTATTTCATACAACACGTCTTGGGTTTGATTTTCTTCCGCTGGTAAATTGCACGATGATGACCAGATGAAGCTGAAATGTTTTTGTGATCTTGCTGGCTCTCAAAGTTACCAACTAGTCTTCTTTTAGAAAAAATTTAAAAAAAAAACACCGTGATACATTATCATGATTGAGAGTTTTCTATTATGCTAATTGGTTGTATCACAACTAAGACAAAAACATGAGTCCAACTTAATTTAACAATCTAAAAAATGAACGACAACACTAACTGTCAATGATACTGCCCATAAACTAAAGTACTAATCGTTCACATAAGAAACCCAAAATAATGCAACAAAACAAAATCAACCAAGAGATTCTGTCATTTAACTAAGAATTCTAAGAATTATGGCATATTATATGTTCATCAGCCTTTATTAGATACTTTTTATGGTTAATCTTAAATAAAAAAAATTCAGTGCTTTCTAATTATACGATAACCAATAAACGATTAAAATGCAAACATAGGATTCAAGTGGAATTTAACCTGTAGCAATCTCACAAACAAGAGACAAAGGCTTGACGAATGGAGCACGCGATCCAGTCTGTCCTCCTATCAAACTGACGCGTGGGCTCTCCAGCCAACAACCGTATTTGATTTTTTACTAATTGACGCCGTAATTAACTAATTACTGCTCGTAAACAAGTACAGTACAGTACAGTAGAAGCTGAGCATAAAAAAATCAGAGTCAAAATAATAATTTAAAAATGAGCGTACAAAAGAAGCTGATCAAAATCTCACGCTCTCTGATCGCACTTTCTCAACAGAACATTTTCCACAAGCAGTTGCAGTTGTTGTTGCTAATCTTCTTCGTCTTCTTCTTCTTCGTCTTCTTCTTCTTCATCTTCTTCTTCGTCGGCGGCGAAAATGCATTCGTCTCACTTGCTTCTGGAAGAGCCGATCAGGATGGCTTCGATCCTCGAGCCTTCCAAGCCTGTGAGTAATTCCGATCACTTTAACTCTTCCGTTTCTTTGAAATTGTTAGTTAATTTTCAGTTTCCGATTGAGAAAAGAGAGAAATAGCCAATTATTTGCTTTTGTTTCTTCAGCAAGTAACCAAGTTGCAGTGTGTTTGTTTCCCGAGAAAGTGAAGGATTGGATGGAAAACAAACAATGCCTGGATTTCCTCTTTGTACTACTTGTTTGGCTGTTTCTTAAAATTAAACTGTAGCAAGTATAGATCAACTCTCTGTGTTTGTGGGTTTGGATGGAGTCTGTATTTCCTTCTAGCATCTTAATTCTTATCATGTGTTTGGTTTCTGAGAAAATGTGATCATCAGGAGGGTGTGATATTTCTTATTAGAGAAATATTTACTTAGCAATCAAACAGGATATTATTGTTTCAGAAATATTCTCTGAATTTCCGTGGGTTATTAGGTGAATATGTGGCCGTAGTGATTTGAAAGAACTTGAATGCGTGACTAACTTTGATGAATTCTGAACTTGCAGACATTCTTTCCGGCAATGACAAGGATCGTGGGAACGCTTGGTCCAAAATCACGATCGGTTGAGACAATCTCCGGTTGCTTGAAGGCAGGAATGTCTGGTATTGCTCACCTGCTATGCATAATTTTCATTGTGCATCTGTCTGATTATGAGTTGCCAGCTTCTTATTTTTGCCATCTCCCTTCATCTATAATACTTTAGTAAAAGGATAAGAAACACCGTCTGAGCTTATGTACCTCTGTTTTGGCGGTACAATTTCTTCACTGTGAAGATAATACTGTGTGGTTGTTTTGCTTCTGGTAAATCCTTTATCTATTTTCCGTCTGTTCAATTTGAATTCCCTTTTTGAATTTTATATGCCGTGATTTTACTGATTGAAGTATATAATTCCTTTCACACCCTCCATGTATATATAGTGGCACGGTTTGATTTTTCATGGGGCGATGCTCAGTTTCACCAAGAGACGTTGGGAAACCTGAAGGTTGCAATGAAGAGTACCAATAAACTGTGTGCAGTAAGCATGCTATTCTTATGAGCTCTGCATTTTGTCTCTAAATTATTTAACTGTATATAATGATCCTAAAATTCAACTTTTAATTAACTGTGCTTTTGTGTCTGCATTATTTAATTTGTTATGTTCCTTTCACTAAATCACCTTAACTTGTAAAGGCTTGATATAGATTTACTAACTTTTTGACTTACCTCCGTTTGGATATGTACGCTTACAAGCTGGTTTATTAATCTTCTATTTTTCAGGTAATGCTAGACACAGTGGGTCCAGAGTTGCAGGTAGTGAATAAAAGTGAGCATCCCATATCTCTTCAGGAAGATACCCTGGTTGTCCTAACACCTGATCAAGACCAAGAGGCCACCTCAAATCTACTACCCGTAAATTTTAGGGGCCTGGCAAAGGTATGTATGATTGAAAGATGTCATTCTGAATATTTTCTGGCTTATCTCTATGAAAGACAGATATCTTGCTATGTTAGAATCCTTGGTTCTATTGGATCTACAGCGATGAACTTTGCCGTGCCAATCTATTTCTCTGAGTGAAGACGAACTATGAAGTAACTGTTTTTGCACTTACCAAACTCAGCTAACCTGGAAAGAGACTGACTTATTCTGACATCAATGAGGGACGGGGCTTTTGAGGCATTGTTTGTTTTTCCAATGAGCAGTCGTGTTTTTCAGTCTAACCAATCCCCACTCCCACCCACACACTTGCATCGCATTCAAGGGTAATTATTCGACAAAATGATCAAATGGGGAATAACTTAGCCATTTGATGATTATAACGATGATTTTCTATGTTTATCAAAACACTGTGTGCGTCTACTTTTTTGACAAAAATGAAATGACTAAACCATTTCAAACTTATGTGATTTTGTGCTGTTTCTTCTGTTTCTTTCAGTTCTTGAACTTTTGCTGTATTTTAGATGCTTTACTTCTGGTGTAGAATTCTTGTACATATAGACAAAGAAGTTCAACTCATCCATATCATATCATATCACGAGATTTTGGAGGAACCAATTCATCTCTTGTAGGTTCAGGAATGGTGTCTTAGAGAAACCAGTTCATATAGTTTGATATTGACTTCCTCCTCTTGATTTTTGGAAGCATGTAAGAACTTAATTTAGTTCTGTATATTTATCTTACAACATGTCTCACATTATGTTGGCATTGCTGCAATGAGTTAAGTTAAATTTGGTCTTTGCAGGCAGTGAAGAAGGGAGATACAATTTTTATTGGTCAATACCTCTTTACGGGAAGTGAAACTACTTCTGTGTGGCTGGAGGTAAGGAAATATAAGAGATATGAGTTCCATTAGGAAGTTGGTAGTAGTATAGTTGGTTTCAGAATCAAAATTAAGCATGTTATTTTCAACTCCTTGCCTAGTCAGATATGTATTCCTAGTCACTCGGTTAGAAGTGAAAACAAGGTAATAGCCACTTTATTTGTTACTCTTCTAACTGTTCCAAAGAAATCTTGTAAAAAAAGCAAGAGTGGGACCAGATTCTGACTTCTGAGAGATAAGGAATGATGACATTCAACTTTAAAATTTTAAATTAATAGAACAATTTAGACATACATTGGGAATTAGGTGAAGCTCTGGTAGCAGACTGAATGCTATATATTTGATACAACCTTTGGCAGTGGAACCTGTGGTCTCTCAAGGTCGACTATTGTTTGCATACATGATATTTATAGGGGATCATCAGAAGTTATCTATTTGATGAGTGACCTGGGTCCTGAAAACTTTAATGTAAATAAAACCTCTAGGAACTCTAAATTTGCTACCTGCGGTATGGTCACATCCATTAGATTTATTATGAGCCTCCATCCGTTCGGTTGGATCAGTCTCTTGAAGAGTACCCTCTGCATTCTTTTTATATAATATTCTCAGGAAAAAGAATGATTCACATGTTGTTGTAACGTTTTCTTTTACAATGCAGGTCACTGAGGTGAATGGTGAAGATGTGGTTTGTCTCATAAAGAATTCTGCTACCTTGGCAGGGTCATTGTATACTTTGAATGTCTCTCAGATTCGTATTGATCTGCCTACACTTACCGATAAAGATAAGGAGGTTAGTTTCTTTTGAAGTCACGGAACTAGATACTAACATAATTAGAGCCACCAACCACCCTGAAAATTGAATTGTCTACTTCTGCATGGATTACAATTTGTCCTTCTATCATTAAGTTTAGTGTTGCAATTCAGAAGGAAATTCTGAACACGGTTATCAGATGTGTTTAGAGTGGTGTCAGTTTTTGGATTGTTTGGTTGGTAAGAAACACTTGGTTTTCTTCTTCTTCTTCTTTTGGGGTAGGATTAGTTTTTA